TGGGCCAGGCCAGGCCATGGAGAACTTGCAGCAAAGAAAGGCTGGAGCATGCCTGGTGGCAGAATGCAAACCAGTTGGGTCCTGTCTTTGGGCTGTTTGCCTGAAGTTAGATGTAGTTTAATGTTCTGCACGTGTGTGTATGATTGTGCATTCTTATTGGTGAGATTATCTTACCATATTATTTTTAGCATTATGATTAAAGAGGGGCTTTGGTCTCAGGCATTCTTATCTTAGATCCCTCTCTGCCCCTTTTTTATGCCCATAGACAGGTGACTTGACCTGATAAGGACTTAGTTTTCCATCTGGCAATTGAGTCATCCTTCTAACAGGACTGTTGTGAAGCTTGAATGTGAAGCCAAGTGCAGTTCTGGGTACAGAGCCTGGCACATGGTAAGCCCCTTACCTATGGGGATGTGGTCACCTGGAGTAGGTTAAGGTTGTGCAGTTATAAAGTGAGATCCCCAAAATGCCTTCTTCACCCCTGGCCGGGGTAGCTGATGGGCTAGATAACAACTGGATTTCTGTCTCATGGAGGTCTCAGTTCTGTACGGCACCTGGCAATGACCTTCATGGGAGATGGCTACTTTATCAGATGTCACTCCCTGTTTGAAACTACCAGTGACCCTGGAGGAGAACACCTGGCCCCTTGCAGACTTTTCCTCTCCACATTCCTTTCTTCTTTCTGGCCATACCAGACTTTTTTGAGATTCCTCACTCATTTGTTCCTGCCCTGAGGCCTTTGCATATGCTTTTTCTTCTGCCTGAAACACCTGCTCTGTCTCCATTCCTCCTTTGCGGGCAAGCATTCCCTGACCACTGCCCCACCTGGTCTAGGTCCTTCCATCAGGAGCACATAGCTCAGCTCCTGTGATTACATAGGCATCCCGCCCTGAGGGCAGGACCTAGGCTGGATTGAACCAGGCATTTCCCACTCTGAAGCCTCTGTCTTTCCACTCCACCACCCAGCCGTGCTTCTCAGGTGTTCCTCTAACCCAGATCATGTGAGCAGAAAGGACTTGCTTTCAAAGAAGCCTTTTATTAACTACTTGCAGAGCACTGCTTAGGCCTGAACAATTAAGACCAACACCTTAATCCTTAGACGGGCGTCACCGTCCCCTGGGCAAAGACTATATCAGGTTAATGTTGCTTCATGAATATGGTGCTCCACACCTTTCCCAAGCCAAAGCGGGCAGAAAGGGGAGCATCTGTACATCTCTGCAGTGCTACAGGCAGAAAAGTTCAATCTCCCTTCCAGTAATTCCACTTCTAGGGTTTTCTCTTTAGGAGATAACCAGAAATGTGAGTCAAAGTTATTGTGCAAAGGTTTTCATCACTAAGCATCATCTCTGATACTGAGAAATGAAGAACAAACCAAGTAGCAGTTGGAACTGATTATAAGAAAAGGGAGCATTCAAACAGTAGAATAGGAATTTTCAACTTGTGTGCCATAAGAATTTTTAAAACGTGCAATACCTGACAATGTGTTCAGGAGCACTGACCTTTTTTCCCTTAGATTATCACATAAAAAAATGACAACAGCCAACACAACAATAGCCATCCAGTGTGAATGAATCAAAATTATATCTATTTTTTTTTGTCAGGTTGGCAAAAAATATTTTTTTGGCGTGCTGCAGAATTTTACTAATTGGTTTATGCGTGCCATAAGATGAAAAAATTTGAAAATTGCTGCAGTAGACCAACAAGAGGCCTTTAACAATCACGTTATAGAGAAGTATTTCATGACAAAGGAAAAGACTCACAGTACATTAAATAAGAAATAAAGGATACAAATTAACAGTGGTCGTCTCTGCATGGTATGATTGTGATGGGTTTTATCTTACTCTCAGTATATCTCAGTATTTTCTACATTGTTTTACAATAAGTGGTATATCAGTGTTCTTTTTTTTTTTTTTTTACCTGAGGATATGTTAATTGATTTGAGACGCAGAAAGAGAGAGAGAGGGAGGAAGAGAGAAAGAAACATCAATCCATTACCTGTCATACATGCCCTGACTGGGGATTGAAACTGCAACCTTCTGGTGTATAGGATGATGTTCCAGACAACTGAGCCACTGGCCAGGACTCATCAGTGGGTTTTAGATGTCTGGTTGCACCTAACAGCAAGTGTTTATGGAACCCAGTGAGCACTGGGAGGCTGGGATGGGTAGTCTCAGTGTCTTGTTTTTGCCCTTGGTCATGCCTCTCATGCAGTTGCTTTCTCTGGTTGTGCTATCTGGTGCCTTACCTTTAGGTCCTCACCATACTTTCCACCTGCCATCAGTCAAAGTGCATTATCTGCTATTCCTACAGGCCATGAGGGAGCTTCCTGCATACACCCTGGCTTTCCCAATTGATGGTTTAGTGAGGTAACTACTCTGGTCTCCCCCTGCTCCCCAACTATCCTTCCAAGAGTTTGGGTCGATGGAACTGAATTCAAGAATGGGCTTTTATGAACTGATCATCAGTATCTTCTGGTCTGTCCACCAGTGTTCAAACTCTGTGGATAGTAACCCACATTTCCTGCTTAACCCCTCCCCACCCCCTACCAAAGGACTCCCTTTGAGTGTAACATCTCTTCCCTGAACAGAATTGCAACCTCAGTTCAGGGATCAAGGCTCCAGGGCCAAGCTCCAGGGCCCTTCCTGCTCCAGGGCCAAGCATGGCATGGGTGGGAGGGGATGTGCACTGCATGTAAGTTCTTGTGGAATTAAGTTGATTTATTATAATTTACAGATTGTACTTGCAGATCTATACTTCTGTATTTCTGGAAACCTGAATTATTAAATAAGGGAAGTTAAGGAGTTTGCCCTTAGTAATAATAGAAATGCATTTTCCCTTTGCTGTGTACAGGGGACTTTCAGCCACTGCATTTGTTCCTCACTCAGCTGCTGGAACCTTTCAAAGGTCAAGGTTTGGTGTCTTACCTTGGCCATCAAGTCCCCTCCTGGTCCATTCTTCCCCCACCTGCCCTTCTCCAGAAATGTGCCCTGTATCCTCTCACCTCTGGGCTTCCACACCTCCTGTTCTCTCCATCTTTTCCCTGCCTGGTTCCTGGGCTGGTCAGGGCTCAGCCAAGACCCGCTTCCCACAGGAAGCCTCCCTGTGCCTGAATCTGGGCCAGCAACTTCCCGCAGTCTGTCTCTTGGCACATCCTGCTCCCTAACTGCCCAGGTTGGGAGAGGTCTGATTGTTTCATCAGCTGAGAGCTTATGAGATCAGGGACTGTGTTTGTCTTGGTGACAGACTTCAGCGGCATGTAGCAGATGCTCAAATCATTGTTAAGTGGAATCTAATGGAAATAAAACTTTTATCTTTGACCAGGCTGTCCGTGTGTAGATCTGAAGTTCCTGCTGAGCTCTGGGCTATTACTGCTTAATCGGCATGGCTGGCTGTAGTAGGGATCTTCCACAGTGCAGAGCAGGGAGAATTCCAAAAGAAGTGTTGGGGGAAAGGTTGAGGACTTGGGCTCTGGATACAGGTTTTACTCTTGGAAACAGTGCTGGGGAGGATGCGTGTTACTTGGATAGGAAATGGATGGTTCAAGAGGCTCTGAGTTTGGGGTCAAGGAGCCCCCTTGAAGCTGTACTGGAATGAAGTTGCAGCTGTTGGAAGGAAAGTTGGTTTGCTCAAGATGCTCAGTTTTTGGCTCAAAAGGCAGGCTATGGGCCAGGAGGAGGCCACCCAGCACTTTGAGGCTGAGTGCCCACAAGGAGAGACAGGGGCTACAACAATGAAGAAAGTATCAGTTGTGCAAGTTCTTAACACCTCGTGCTGGTCATGGGGCCTGAACTGGGAGATATACATTCCAGCTGCTGTCAGGATGGGAGCCTCTCAGGGAGCTCTCAACAGCTCACCCCCTGGCGTGAGTAAGGAGGTGCCTCTTGAGCCTTGGTCCTGCCACTTAGGGAGGAGGATCAGACAGACAAGGGCCTAGGGCCCTTGAGCTAATGCTGCCTCAGCTTCAGTTTCTTCATCAGAGTAGTGGGCCCACACAACTGCTACACCCACAAGGCTGTTGTGAATGTTCAAGTAGAGGAAGCACCAAAAATACACACCTGGCACATGAAAACAACTAATGAATTTTGGATTTTTATCATCATGAAGCCTGTGGTATATAGCATTCTTTATTCCTGATTTTATGAAGTCCTGGGGACAGTAAGCGTTTTATCTGATGAATGAATGAATGAATGAATGAATGAATGAATGCATACAAAAACAAAAACAAAAACAACCCCGTTGTATTTAGATTCCCATGTTTATTTCCCCACTGCTGACCTGGGCCACTGCTGGCTGCCGTTTTTTCCCAGGCTCAGCATCAGTCAGATGATAAACCCGCCTCTCAGATGACTGAGAGCCTCCTGCGGGCGGGGATTCCAGCCTCTCGTGGGTCCGCTGCATTTCTCACTCCCACATTCGCATCCTCACCCTCACAATCGAGGAAAATGCGGTTTGGGCAAGACCCTACGCTCTCAAGGTTAGCCTAGTGGCGGGCGTGGGGCTCCACGCATAGGCTCTGGCACTTGCGGGCTAGGGCGGCCCGCTACCGCTGGCGCGGGTGTTCTCACGGTCCCCTCCTGCTTGGACACCTGTCCGGCCAGCTGACCCCGGGGTCTGTGCTGTGCCTTCTGGCCCTGGGGCCCAGGGCTCAGGGGATGGCTACACACCCCTTCCCCGCACCCCTTCCCAACCCGGTAAATCCTCTCCTCTGGAGTCTGGATTAGGTGGCAGGGGATGCCCCAGGGGCCAGATCCCTCTCCTCCTCGCTTCCTAGCCTTCCCAGGGAGGCGGCAGGACGTGGGGAGGTGGGAGTGCCAAGTGGGACTGGCTGGGGCAGTGCACTGGTTCCGCCCTGGTGGGGGTCCCGGCCCGCCTCCTGCCCACGTGGCCGGCAGGACCTCCCAGCCCCCGGCCCCGCCCCGCTCCGGGGTGCCGTCGCTTCAGCCGCTGCCACCAGCACTGCCGCTGTGGCGCGCTCTCCAGCCCCGCAGGGCCGAGCCTGCCCTGGCGCCGAGGTGAGTGTGGGTGGCTGGTCAGGAACCTGGCCGCTCCGGGATGCTGTCTTGTGCTGGCTCCTCCTCTGCCTTAACCCACAGTCCCGGAGCTGGACCCCCGCCTCCACGTCCCTCGCTCACGCCGCCGCGTCCCGTGTTCGGTGTTCGCAGCAGGCTCTACTGGCTGCCTGGGCTGGGGGACTTGGAGCGCTGGGAGGCGCCCTGTGGGCGGCACAGGTGGGCATAGCCACCGCCTGCCCCGACCGGCCACTGCTCCCTCTAGAGACCCTGACTTCGGTCCTTGGGCAGTTGTGGGACAAACGTTCCCGGAGCCACTTCCGGGGAGGGAGGCGTCACCTGTCTTGGGACGCAGCCCCTTATCCTGGTGTCTCCTCCAGCCCTGGTGGGGCGTCCACAGGTCGGAGTCGCGTAGGGCGCTGCAGGTCGTGGCTCGCAGGGCCGCTAGTCGATTCACCTCGGAGGACCCGGCTTTGAGCGCGCAGGGTGGCGCCTGCGGTTCCGGGCTCACCCTGGTGCTGGGGGCTGCATCTTTTAAACTGCGCGGCCAGAGGCTCCGGGGACTGAGGCAAGGGAGGCGGACACCAAGGGGTTGAGATGAAACTCTGTGCCTCGTAGCCAGAGACTGGTGAGCATTTTTCTGAGTGAGGAAGTTGTGTGAGCCGAGTGGAAATGGGCTCCTTTGGGCTTTGACCCGAGGAAGAGAGGAAGAGCGGCGCTTGCATTATCAGCGGCCTCATCACGGGCTTGGACGTTGCGGAAGCAGAGCGGTTTGTTCCTAGAGGACTCTTGCTTCACTTAATGGCCTGGACGGATGCACCGGCAGACACTTATTTTTAAGCATTTTATACACTACCTAGGCTTTGTTCCATGGGGTGTGGAAGAGAAGAGCTTTGCTATGTCTGTTTTAGGTGTGTAGTCTTGGGCAAGTTACTTCACCTGTCTATGCATCAGTTCTCTCATCTGTAAAGTGAGAATGATAATAATACAAACCTTAAAAGGTTGTGAGAGATAAAAGTTCTTAAAATTGTGCTTGGTACTAGGTAAATTCTACATGTGTTAGCTACTCTCATTATTATGGCGGACACCTGTCTAACAGCACATTCTCATCCCTAGCTCCCCAGTGAGGTGGGTGGCCAAGCTTTTTGCTCCTCCTACTGAGGACCTGCATTATTCAGACAGAAGCTGTGGTGTCCCCTTTAGCCCCGAAACACTGGGGCTTCCCAGTAGCACTTCATCTGGTTAACCGGCCTTGTGTAAAATGTATCTCAGCGTGAGATTAGGGATGACCTTTGTCAAGGACACTCTTGGGAAATGGGGCCTCTACCTCCTCTGGAAGCCCTGGGGTGTAGCTGGATGTTTGCTTCTTGGGGGTGGAGTGGATAAGGTTTCACTTGAAATCCTTCAGGCCTAGGGTGGAAGTCTATTTAGGTGCCCAAGGGCCTGATCTTATCCCCTCCCCTACCTCATTCACCCCCAGCAGATTGTCCTCTTCCTCAGCCTCCCTGGGCTGCACCAGTTTAGTTTCTTCTGGCAGTGGTAACCACAGACAACAGTTCTGAACCTGGGGCTCCAGGAAGCTTCTGAAATGTCCATGAGATGCTTGGAGCCCAGGTGCATGTTTTTCTAGAGGGAGCCCTTTGTGTCATGTTCTGCAAAAGGCCTGCACCTCAAAAAAGTGGACCCTGAATGGCTGGTTGGGAGATGTGGGTTTCTCACCCCTTGGATAGGGCAGGGGTACATTTTTAGGGAGTCAAGAGGTCAATATTACCTCTGTCTCCTGGACACTGGAAGGCACATGTGTTCCTATATACCCTCGCTCAGGGTATCCCTTCTAGTGGAAAATTCAGATCTATCTTGACTTGAGAAAATCTGACAAAAAAGTCAGATGAGGAAAAGAGAAGGCAGACCATGTGGGTAGGCAGTGTTGGCCTGTGGTGGGAACCTTTAGGACGGGTTGCAGTTCATGAAAATTTGAGCTCAGGCTATCAGGATGCTTAGCAGGATGAAGAGCAGGGCCTTAGCACGTGCTCTTCCCTCATTGGAGCACACTCTTCCACTACTTCTTCTCACATCTGACACTTTCTTGTTCTGTCCAACGCAGCTACTTCCCTCTTAGTTTTAATCACATTCTTCCATTGTATTTTTTCATGGAGCTTACCTGAAATGTTCTTATTCATATATCTGTTTATGGGTTTATCATCTGCTTCCACCCAGGAGAATGTAGAATCCAAGAGGACAGAACAGTTGCCAGATGCCCTTTTTACTGCTGAACTCTAGCCCCTGGCACACAGTAGATGCTCAGTAAATGTCCCCTGAATGATAGAATGAATGAGCATCACTGAGTGAAATGACGTGAGGCCGGGGAGCTTTTAACAGTAGTAAAATGCAAAGGAACGGGCTGTTACTCAGGAGTGCTGGGTTAAGAGTGACCTTTAACATTTAGTTCAACCTGCACTTTAAATCACCTCTGCAACTTCTCTTCCCAGTTATTGCCAACTGGAGCTTGAATGCTTCAGTGACAGGGAATTCACTGCTTGCTGAGATAGCCCATTCCATTGTAGGAAAGACGTGGGATGCAGAGAACCAGAGAGAGAGTCCTTGTAGTTACTCTGTTAGGACAAGGTGTGGCCTCAAGGCTTCTGCATGCCACCACTCCAGCCCTGGTCTACTCTGCATCCTGATCACCCTTCATCCATCACTGTCCATCCCAGTGAGCTGCCTCTACTTCTGTGCCATCACTAAGGTTCTCGAGCCCTCAGTATGCTACTGAGTTTATGTCATCAGAGGGGCCTGAGGCAAAGAGGCCTCAAGAGAAAACTGCTGTAGTTTAGGGACCTTCACTGCTGTAGTTTAGGGATCTTCTAAGCCAAGTTCTGTATTGTTTAGGACCCTGTACATTGGCAGTGGGGTGAATGGGAGTAGGGGAATGGAGGGTGGGCTCTGTTTCTTTCACTCTTTTATCCTTCTGGGTTTTCTGAATCATTCCTTAATCAATCTATTAATTGTGGCCCTAGCTATATTTTTAAAAATTAGTCCTTGGACCCATTATCTTAATCGTTTATACAAGAAATTGTCTCATTCATACCACCTTGCATGTACTGATTGAAACTAGAGTGAAAGTGAAATGTTTTATGTGATTCTTATTTATCGGGTCGCTTTAGCTTTCTGCATGGGAGATCACCAGTGTGGTGGTTGGAGTGGGGTCTGCTATGGAGAGGTTGGGAGATAAGCTTTTCTTTCTTATTACTTGAGTGAAAGTTGTTCATTTAGAAATGAAGATGGGTACACTTTTTTTTTTTATCTTAAAGAAAACAAGACTGAGGAAGACCACAGTTAATTGAAGTCATATCTATACATGTGCTTTAGCCACTTAGCTCAGCTTGTTTACCTTATTTATTCAAGACTCATTTATGGAAGGAGGGCTCTGGCACTGGGCCACACAAAAGTCAAGAAAAGCAACTGTGTTCCTCCCTTGTGGAGTTTATGCCTCAGTGGCAGAGATGGGCACTAGACAACTAGATCTCTAATATGAAGTCAGGGTGGGGTGTGTGTGTGATCAGTGTAATGAAGAACACAAAGCTGCGTAAGGGGATCCAGAGTGACTGGGATGAAGACAAAGTTGGTTTGGTCAGGGAGGGTCCCTCTGAGGAAGCAACGTTTGAGTGGAAATCCGAGGGAGCAGTTATGTGGATAGCTGGGGGAGGACCATTCATTCCATACATATGGACCCCAAGGTTGTGGTTGAGTCTCTGCTGTGGCCAGTCAGTTCTTGAGGTCTGGATATGGTCTGTCTCCCTGGGGAAGGGAGAAGGAAATGAGGCAGTGTGGGCAGAACCCCACCTTCTTCTCCTCCCCAAATCCTGGCAGATGGCTGGAGTAAGATCTCAGCATTGTGTGTTTGCTGGTTGACCAGAAGACTTGTGTCTTCTTTTCCAGAGGGTGATGATGTTTCCTAAAACTGCTTCTTGGGCTATGAGCATGAGCCTAGGGGGCACTGCTGGACTTCTATCTCTACACATAGTAAGACTTGCCTAACCCCACATGCCCTGGGACATGGACTCTTATGTCATTTGGTTACTTCCACTTCATCACCTAGAAGGAAACACCTAGAGTTACTTAACAAGGCTTTGATGAAAAAATGAAGAGGCCAAAATGTATAGGATTGCAGACCAGGAGATGCAAGCTTCCCATTCTTTCCATCGATTGGTTGATTAATTGATCAATTGATGTTATTTAACACAGCATAAGATGCCTGAGGCTTAAGGACATGAGATCTTGGTTGTATGACCTTTAAGCAGTAACCTAACCTTCTGAGTGTTGGTTTCTTCGTCTGTAATATTGGAGAGGAGGTATGACAGGGAGGCTTCTTGGAAAAAGTGACATCTAAGAAGATATAAAGGGTGGGATGGAAGGAAGAGAGAACAGTAGATGTAAAGGTCCAGACAAAGGTAGGGGTGCGCGTGTGTGTTGGAGTATGCTGTGGAAAGGGAATTGATGTAGCAGCCAGTTGATCTGAATGGTGGTGCCTTGTGCTATGGACTCTGTACTGACATCCTCAGATATTCTCTACAACTGTCCTGTGGCACAATCCCTCTTAGTAGCCTCATCCTCTAGTCCAGGAAGTTGAATGTGGAGGGATGAATAACTTGCCAACTGTGGTCTCCCTGGGGCTGTGCTCAGTTTTATCAGGAGAGCTGTAGGATATTTCCAGAAGATTTCATCAGTGAGGTCCAGAGAGGTGGATGTTTTTAAATATCTCCGACAGGCCTTGCTTTGCTGCATATCCCCGTGGAGTCAACTCTTGAAGGGCAGAGGCTGCTCCCAGCCAATGCTCCTTCCCTGGCACAGTGAGGGTTTATTGGGGTGTTAGGTGGGTGCTTCAGGCTCATTGGTGGCCACTAAAAATGAGGCTGGAGGAAGTCATTGCCTTCATTTCCCACATGCCTCCTGGCTTTTTCAAGGAGGACCCACAGGTTAGGGTGGAGCTAGACATGGAGTCC